TTTGATTTTTCTAAAAGCACTATCCAGGGCTTTCAATAATGGCTGGTAATTGGTTTCTGTCCAGCTAGAATTGGAACTTTGTTCAKTCAAATATTTGCCTTATTAGTTATTTTGATCAGTAATGTTGAGCCAGACCGAGCTCAACTTAATGACCTAGCAATAACTAATTTGGCCAGTATACTAGTGATCATGATTGGCAACTGACTGGCCCTTATCTTAAGCCCTACATTTCATAATACTTGCCAAGCAATGTATATTTATTTTCTTTAGAAACTTGAATGTATTTTCTTCATGCAAAAATGTTAAATTATAATATTTATTTCAGGAAGGAACTCTACAAAAAACATCAATGGAAAAGTTAAGCAGTGATGGAGAGGTATAGGATTTCTTGTGGTTTTCTTTGTTAMTTTTTATTACAAGCTCAAACTGTGCATGATGTACGTGTGCCCAAGCACTAAGATCAGCCTGACTGATTTATCTTTATCATATAACTATACTCCAATCAACGTACCACATAGCTCGTAACATCTGGTAACCAAAAATTGATTTATTGACTTGATTTCTTGAAGGGTATTTACAACAGGGTCAATGGAGCTGTTCACCTGTTAATTGCTGATGTCTTGCTTGTTCAGGGTTTGAACAAACTTCATCTTCTTCAGGTAAAGATAACCTGGACAGATAGAATTTAATGTATTAGGAGTCCTGTGTATGTATATATCAGTTACCATGGTCACCTCTATATATCCCTGACAACACCTGAATTATAGCCTGAATAGAAGCCCAAAGGTACTAGGGGTTGATCTACCTGGCTACCTGACCTCTGCTCTCACATTACTGTAGTTCTAATTCCCCAACCCCAATGCACCACTACACAGGCTAACAACTGAACGTTTAAAAATGTTTTAACACAAATACAGTAAGGCCTTGATTTTTTATGATCATAAAACATATTCTTTCAATAATTTGTTTTGTAGATGATTAACGATCAACAAGAAAAATTAATTGTTTCTTGAGTTCCATCTTTTCTCTCTCTCTCCCTCTCTCTCCCTCTCTCTCTCTCTCTCCAATCAATCCACCACAGGGTTCCCATAACAGTTCCTTGTTCTCTTGTGGTTTTGGGTCAGAATTCATGAAGTGTTCATTTGTATTTTATAGTCATCATATGTTTGGGCACTGAGATATCTTGCAATCAAACAGAGAATCATGGAAGAGCATTGCAATATG